TTTAAATTTTGAGATTATTTGTGACGGTTTTTCTCCCTTTTCTGGGCGCTTAGGGACCGGAAGAGACAGCACCCATTGAATCAATAGATTTGAGAGAGAGGCAATCGCATCTTCATGATGCAAACCCAAAGACTCTTATATGATCCGAATTAATTCCCATCTCAGAGCTCGCTCACTCTCAAGTGATTGATTTCCTCTGGCAGGGAATTTTCCGTCACTCTGTTTGTGTTTTTCCTCGCGAAGCATTCTCGTCATCCATTAATGGACCATCATCCCCCACTTGCTCTCCGTGCTGAGAGTCTCCAAACCCTTGATAACCTGGATAGACACTCTCTGGGCACTCTCACAGGCACATCTCATTGATTCCTTCTCTCAGGATAACCGCTTTTACGGCCGTTTGCCAGCATCCGAGAGCGCGAGAGCGACAAGAGAGCGCGTATCAACCCACACACCATCTCAAGAGTCTGGATAAACTCTCTGGGTACCCCATCTTGACATGCTACACTCCCCTATTGATCGGTGTTGCAGTATAGTAGATTTTAAGTGAGAGATTTTTCAGCACTTTCCACATCAGAGTTTCACGTTTTTTTCCCAGACATTTCGCCAAATCTCTGGGCTTTTCCACCAAATCCAGTTAAGTGAAGTTGCACTGTTGCCTGGAGAGTTGATCTAGATTTTGAGAAATTGCCCCTTGTGGCCAATTTCAGTGAATTCCGTGTGCTTCAGAGACACCAACGTTCGAAGTTTACATCGGTAGGGATGGTCTTTTTTGCTCTGTTGGGAAAAAGCACACAAGAAAGAGGTTCTTCTGGTCACAAAAGCAATGTGATTTGGCCTTAAAGTGCAAGTGTGTGACTCAGAGACCTTTGTCCAGGAGAGCCTCGTGTCGCCCACACCCTAGACTTGCCCGCAAAAGCTCCAGCACTTGCAAAAACCCAAACAGTCCCATTTTCTCTGGCCGAAGACATCGTCACGGTGCAATATCCAGGAAAGTGGGTGTGTTTGACGCATTGAACCTGCAACATCGCCACGAAGAGGCGCAAAAAAGACGGTCCATCACTGTACATAGCACGCGAGCTTTTCGAGAGCTTTCGCCCATTATGGATCACAAATGAAATTGCCTGGCAAAGTTGCATTAAATAGACTTTAGCCTCATTATATTCATGTCGATTTTTCCCCTCGTCCACGGCAATTTCACGAGTCGTCTGTCCTAGGGGTGGCCCACCCACCCATTTTCATCCCCCAGCGAAACGAGAGAAAAAACACCCATCCATTTTCGCACTTTTACACCCACACATTCAATTCAATTGCCAATATTTCTCCTCTTTTGCCCATTATTACTCTTCAATCCGATGTACATAGTTTTTTTCCATCCCTCCATGCATTTAGCCACTGTCGCTCTTTGTCCGCTTTAGTGCTCCACCATAATCACATTTGGCCATCCACTGCATAGGGGTGCGGGAGGAGAAGAGGCTGCAAGAAGTGACTGTGGAAATTTTCAACCATATTCGCCACAATTTCCCTCAAAACTCATGCTCAAAACACAGTCCAAAATCCTCAGGGAATCTCCTCCGAGTCCGGCATTGTGAGCAATTGGAAATTTGGTCTCCTTCTAGCGCTAACAGGGTGGAAAAAGAGACAATTTCTCCGCAAGATAAATTGACAAGAGTGACTGTAGAGGGTCGCCACTGTTGTTGCGAAGAAATATAGCTCCTCATTGATCAGATAGAGAAAGAGAGTCGATAAAAAATGGGAGCAAAGGGTAGTGTTGAGGCTGCAAAAATGAATCCTGAAAGCTGGGGACATCTCGAGGTATGTACAACATGTGTGTGACCCCCACCTCACTTTTAAACAACCCCACCAATGAAGATGCTCCCCTTAAAGACAGCCAAGTGAATGAGCTAAAATCAGAGATAATAATCTTTCTTACTAATAATCCACACCATCACGAGTCCCCGATTTCCCACTGAAAGCAGCATTTTATCACACAAATACAGTGTTTTTTTTCTCTTCTTATTATGAATCCGAAGAGATTTTTCTCACACATTTTCTTCTTCATCACCAGTGAATTGTGTTTTCTCTAAATCACATGGAAATGATTATTCGACACTTACAAAGCTGTTAATGGATTATTTGGATGTTTTATTGCAACCACGCAACAAGAAAATTTCATTTCTTCTTCACAAAAAAGTGTTAAATACTAGGGCGTCTCAGAAGGACGTGATAAGCGAACGCCAAGGCTTATGGTCAGTTGGGCACTAATTTGGGTTTAATGCATAAATGTAATCAAAACTTTAAACCTTCATAACTCCGCTTCTATTATTTCAATAAAAAATTATAATCTATTTTTAGAGACGTCTTGATCTGGACTACAACATACTAAAATGTAAAGAAAATGCACAAAACCGTTTAGAAGATATTTGATTTTAAAGTTTTGAAAATTGGTTTTCTCGACTGTAGCGCCTCTCGAGGTGGTTGTATTAACTTATGATGCTTAAGTTAAAAATGACATTTCATGAGATCTATCTAATGCGTTTAACATTATTCAAATCGAATTATAAGAAGCGGAGTTATGAATATTTTTAATCTTGAAATTTGTTCCAAAGCCGGGTTTTGCCCAGCTCGGTTTCTCAGACACAATTTCTTAAAATTTCATCAAAATGAAGCACTCTAGCGTGCTTCGAATTCTAACATTTGTGGTTTTGCATTCAAGATTTATTCGTTATAATTTCCTCCCCCCAAAAATAAGCATGTCCAATCCGAAAATAGTGTGAAACCACATGGCCTTTAGTCGGAAAAGCGAGAGCGAGAGCACCAAATAAATTTGGGAACGTGTCCAACTCTAATCCTGTCACTTGAGACACACGCAAAACAATGGCGAGCAACAATTATGTGCGGCCCATCAATCAAAACTCGATACACACACTCTTGAGATGGAAAGTCGTGTGCAAGACCGGAAATGAGCCCCGAAACTTGTTGCGTGGTTACATCGGTGTGTGTTTGCGTCTAAAATTGTCAGCAGAAAGTAAACCACTTCTAAATCCACTCTTCTAATCTTCTAATTAGAATTCCTTTCTTTTCACGTTTTGCGCTCTTTCGTTTTTTATCTTGTGAAGCACAAAACTATCTCACTATCGTCTTTCCTCTCTGTCTTCCCCTACCAAACTCTTGGTACACAAAAACATTGTCGAATCCCCGAGACTCTCTTAATACTTTATTTTACTATTATTGTGTCTCTGCGACGCGGCGACAGGTTAAAAATAAAGATATCACACAAATGTTACTCAAAAATCTTACACGCATCGCGACTCTGAATGCTTCTTCTCTATAGCTAGATTGTGAGGGCGAGGAAGAGTGTTTTTCTTTCTCAGTGATTCTTTAATGGGAATCTCCCTATATTTTACCCCGCAAAGTGTCAGATTTTCAGTAACACTCTCTTAGCCACAAACGTGACAATTCCTAAGGGTGAATGTGTTGCATGATGACCCGCAATCAGTGTTGTTTTGTCATCTTCCACAGCTTTTTCTTCTCTCCCCTGAAATGCATGCATTTTCTTTTCTATGTGTATTCAATAAGAGATGTTTTTGGTGTGGAAACTTCTACCTCTCTTTTCACAAGGAGTATATTTTCGTGTTGATTTGCCATTGAAGTTTTGGCTGTTTTGGCCCCAAAAAGAGTGGGTTTTCGTGTGGTGGAGATGAAAAGAATGTGACTTTGAAAATTCGTCCCAAACAACACTTTTCCACCATTACTTTTCGTGTTTGTGTCTTCTTCGCCACTCGTCCTCGGGCTTGACCAGACGGCAGACTTACAATTCCATTAAATTAATTAGGTCACTAGGAGTGTTGCTGAAAAATTATATTTGCTCTAATTAATTATGAATAGTTCTGTAGTTGGAAAGCAAGGGCTTTAATGTTATGCGTGAAAACACACATTTGAACATGTGCCTGAGAAGCTGTGAACCCCTCAAAAACCCCACCAAAACAATGGTCAAAGAAGAGAAGCAATTCTATCCAATAAATCATACTTTTACCGTGGATTTTGTTGTCTCGTGCCACGAATTCGAGTCCATTTCAATTTGTACATTCATTCATATCTCCAAATGGACGCGGTTTCACCTTTAAGAACACGAAGCGCTTGATCGTGGTGTGAAATATGCTTAACCTCCATCAATTTTGAGGTGTGACCGCGAGAAGAGACAATTATGCCCAAAAGCGCGGATGGGAAAGGAGGAAATTTCACTTCGAACCTACACGCTCGGAGAATTCATTGAGCTCGTAATGTTATTAATTCTCCCACCCGCGCAATTTCACCATCATTGACTCATTATGAATCTCACCAGCGCGCGTTGATAAAAATGATTCTTTTTCATCAGCTGAAAATGTCTCGAGCACACAACTTCTCAAACTGTTACATCGCGTGACGAACTTTTCAAATTTATCACCCAAACTTCTCTCGAGATGCCGCCCGAGACGCTAAATGGGCGGCGATGAGGGGGTGGAAATGGACTTTTTATCAACCCCGCGGCGCACAGGATTCAAATGCCAGTGAAATAATTTATAACAATTAAATAATTCATCTTCTTGACAGTGTTTCTTGGACTATTTGGGAAGCAGTGAGCTGAGGCAAGAACGCACCTCCACATAAAAGAAATCATCTCTCAAGCCTCACTATTTCATGTTGGGATTATTATTATTTTTCCTCTCTGGCACACAAGTGTGTTGCGTGCTGTGCGTTTTCTTGTTGATTGACAAACGTGTCGGCAGTGTTGCTCGTCTCGCAGGTTCTTCACATCTGTTTCCGCTCTTACTGTCTTTCTTTTTCTCCTTCTTCACTCTCTGCCTTGCGATTTCATTTCGCCTGTGCCTTTGCATGCAATTCAACCCCCGCCCGCAGAATGTACATAGGCGTCGAGGGTGAGAAGCAGGGTGGCCAATCCAGTAATCGTGGCTGTTGGTGGTCTTTGCAGAAGGGGAGACACTTCAGCCATCGGCACAACAACCAGCGCTCGCAGTCGCTAAACCGAGGCCCGGTCCTCTCCAGGGCGGACGTGGGAGGAATGTGGTGACACCAAGGAGCCTCAGGTAACCATGGGCTTGGTGGGGCCAAACACACGTCGCTAAGCGGAGCGGCTTTCCTTTGGACAGGAGGACAGGTGGGCTGTGCCAGTTGCGCGATGGGGAACAAACTCAGCTGCTCGTGTGCTCCTCTTATGCGCAAAGCCTATCGCTACGAGGACTCGCCGTGGCAGACGTCCCGACGACGAGATGGGCATCTCCTGAGGTGAGTGTGAAAAAGCCCAGAGAAAAGCCAGTGAATTGCAAGTTGATTTGACAAGTTTTGAAGACCTCGAGAATAGTTTTCTCGAGAGTGACATAATTGAATGAAGTTTGCAAGTAAAACATCGAACGCCTGCAAAGTTAAATCTGACAATTTCCACTTTGTCCCATAAAAATTAATTTCCCAGAGATTGAGTTACAATTTAATGAAATTACAAAATTTCGAGAAAGACCGACATAGTTTCTCAATTGCATTTTCCGGATAAATTGCCAGTGTTGCCTTCATTTTTCTTCAACCTCGAATAATTCTCATGGAAAATTCCGTGATGATGATTCTAATTGATGTCCCAGGAAAGGGGAATTCTTCAGGCAATGCTTTTCAGATAATTATCCAAATGATGCCTATAATATTTACAACAGAATACCGCTGATATAATAAACATTCATATGTACAATAAAAAAAGGAAACATTAAGTAATGAAAGATTCCTGAACAATTCTTTGTATTCGGAAATAGTTTATGAGTCGCAAATGTTTTTATTACAAAAATATTCGACCATTTTACTATCAAAAAAGTTTTACTGGAGTCATAATTAAAACTAGTAGCATTAAGCACAAGAGGGAGATAATGTGCCTTAAATCTGTGCACCACTTCGTGACACTTTCACAGTTTCTGAACGCATTTTTCAGACTCCTTCACAATCTAATCTAGGATTTCAGATTGTAAAAAGTGATCTTAATGTTCCAGGAATTGTTTATCAAGAATTTCAATATTGATTTTAAACCAATCACATAACCTAGAAAAGTAATAAAATTAATTTTCTTTTAATCAAAATAAAGTACAAAACGTCTCAATTTGTAGCAAAAGATGCTTTTGTAGTATAAATATCCTAAATATTTCACCACTTCCAATTCCTAACACTTCGCTTCTGACCATAATATCTTCCCCTTGACTAAGCATTAATGCAGTTTCATGCTACTTTACGTTATTATCATCTTTTTGAGTGTGAAAGCAAACTGGCGAATCAGTGATAATCTTCTCTTTTACATAGTCAAGAAAGAGGCTTAATTCAACAAATCCTCCTCATAATAAAATCATGTAATCTTCTCAATGCAGTGAAAGGCTGCAATCATTGGCAATAATCGTCATTGCGAAGCTCAGAGAAGATCCACTTACTTTCCAATTCTGGCTGTGACACAATCCTTGTGTAAAGTGCTTCGTGGCAGTCGTTGAATTGAGTGGAATTGAGGAGCATCTGGTTTGACCCTCTCTATCGCCACTAAAGTAACTCTCCCAAATCAAATCTGCATACATACTTAGGCATTCAGGGTACATAACCTACTATCCTAAACAACTTGGAAACGTGCACCCATTTGGCGTGCCCCTCGAGTCAATCTAGTCAATAATTCAATCGAATGCCATCTCAGTGGATTGACCCAATTTGTCATCCCTCAGGTTATGGGCTGAAGTGTTCCACGTGTCTGCGAGCGGAGCGGGAGCGGTGAAGTGGCAACAAGTGTCGGAGGATCTTGTGCCCGTCAACATCACATGCATCCAGGACACGCCGGAGTGCGTGTTCCACATCACGGCGTACAATAGCCAGGTGGATAAGATCCTGGACGTGCGACTTGTCCAGCCGGGTAGGAATAGGCGATCCCAGCCTTAGATTTCCAAGGTTTCTCACGCTCGCATTTCTTCATTGCAGGCACGCGAATCGGTCAGGCGTCCGAGTGCTTTGTGTACTGGAAGGACCCAATGACAAACGACACGTGGGGCCTCAACTTCACGTCCCCGATCGACGCTAAGCAATTCCGCGAATGTTGCGTAAGTAGAGCTTCATTCATCCCCCGTTGTCCCATGACAATGTGCATTAATTCTAACACACAAACACTAACCAAAGCTCTATTTGTAACTCTTAATAACCGTACCATGCTCAGTGATAATGCAAAAAAGCGAACGTAACGATATATATCAAATCATTTTCTTCTTCTCTTCTCAACCTGTGTGTGTTGTTTGTCATCCATATCCTACCGCACAAGATGGTGTAACTGCATCCACACATCCCTCTTCCTGTCTGTCTCACTCTCTCTCTGGTGGTCTATCTTCTTCTGTGTTGCTCTTGATGGCCAAACGAACCAGAACTCCCACAACCAACCAAACTAACCTAATGACAGTGCGACATTTTACAGTCGCCTTCTTTCAAATTTTCACGAAAGGCCTCATCGAGTTACTCGCTGAAGCTCGACCCGCCGGGCAAAGGGAAGATCAAGGCTAAGAGGAAACCACTGAGCACACCGGCCAGTCCGTCGCGCATCCGCGAGCCGCAATGCACGTGCATGACGGCCGAGCAGTACGCCAGGTTGCGCTCTCAGGATCCCAGATATCGAGGTAAGGCTGCGCTGCCCAAGCCCAATCCCTTTCTCACATCCTCATCTCTGCAGCTTCGTCGACACTCCCTCGAGCAACGACTCGCAGTACTGAAACTGACACTGTGCGTGGTGATAAGGTGGCCGCCGCCACATCCAGCACATCCCTGTACGACAATGTGGCGACGAGTGGTCAAGGCATCGGCACTCAGAGCACAGGGCAAGGTGAGTGCGGAACAATAACTGATCCGACTGTTTGCTAATGGGATTTCACTTCGCAGACACACTCAATCGCCAGACAAAGACTCAAGAAACCAATACAATGACAATCACAACATCAGTTGGCACGCAGAATCATCATATCGGGTCGCAGGCCGGACAGCAGGACTCCGGCACGCAAATGGGCAAGGCGCCCGAGGAGACCAGCAAGTCCGAGGGCACTCAGGCCGGCGGAACGCTGCAGCAGAGCTCGGGGCCCAAGACCATCTCCACGGGCACGGGCACGCGGACGAAGGACTTCGAGGACGCCCACGAGATGCACCACAACGTGCTGAACAACAACACACGACGCAGCAAGTCCAAGAGCACGGAGGACATGAACGTGGACTCGGGCACGCTGAAGCGCATGCTGAAGCCCATGGCCAGCACGGAGAGCCCCGTGACGTCACCAGAGATGGGCCGGAAGCGCTACAACTACTACAACAGCGCCACCACGATGCCGCACATGCATCAGCACGCCATGCACGCGGCCCACATCATGAACAACAACACGCTGGGTCGCGCCCAGGCGCAGCGCTTCTCCAACAGCCGTTCCTCGCACGAGATCGGGCGCGGCTACCCGCAGAGGGGGCTCTACTTGGAGCTGGAGCAGCGCGAGCGCGGCTGCATGGAGGGCTCACCGCCCTCGGACAATGTGATCTTCGACAACCAGTGCTACGCCACGACGCCCAGCTCCAGCAACGGCAACTCGGATCAGGATCAGCCTTGCGGGGGCCGCGGCCCCGGCAGGCATTCGCACCACCATCAGGTGAAGAGAAGTGGAGGAGTGATTAGCGTTAAGAAATGTCCTTAGGAGATTTGTACTCTAAGAGCGATGACAGACTTGTGGGTAAACCACGAGGGTGTGTACGACTGACAGCTGGTTGAGCAACGATACGCGACTGATCCCTCAATGTATCGAAAGTTCAAACGATATATAAGCGCCAAAGCCCTTCGCAACCCAAAACAGAAAAATGGCGAATCTTTTGTGAATTAATATTAAATTCTTCTGGGAATCTTCACTTTTCGCTATTTTATCGTAAAATTTCATGCTTTTGAATAAAATAAACAAATCAATTGACAGCTGATGAGAGCGGAATAAAAAGCAAAATTGTCGCCAGTGTCGACAAAGAAGAATAACTTCTGAGTATGTTTAGCGCCAGTTTAGCCACGAATTATGGCTGATCTGATCTTTAAACACTCCAAGCTCATCCACGGAAGATTGATTCCAGTTTCCGTTGATTTGAGGGTAACCTAAAAGTCTGTAATCGCTCTAACCAGTCGATTCGACAGAGTTTTAAGCAAATATCAAACAATCTTTAGATGAGACACTTTGAATCAAAGACACTCTTCTCAAGTCATTCAATATTGCCCGATTAATGACAGAAGAAACAACTAAGAATTCAAATTGTTAAGGCTGTTTAGGGGAAAAACTAAAGCTTTATAAGATTTTCACAGTGACACGTTTTGTCCTGCTCAAAATCACCCGAATTCCCCTACACAATTGTCCATGGCTCAAAATTAGGTCGCTCAAAGGGTGTGTCCCGAAACTCAGATTTCGCACTCAGTGCAGCTGCCAAAACTTTCTATCTGTCGTAACTGGAATCTCTCTATTAATATCACATTTTATCTACACGAAAACACGATGAAGATTGTGAAAATTGCTTGAATGAAAAATGCATGTTGAGTGATGAGAAACCTAATATTGTGGAACATTTGTCTTTGTCACAAGCAAATTGTAACACTGGAAGTGTGATGGCATAAAAGGAAGAGCTGGAGTAATTTCGCATATTAAATCACAATTGAGCTTTCAATATTGAAGTAATTATCTATCTATTATGAACAGGTAGTTGATGAAGGAGTAATTTATTCAATTATCGAATATTAATCTCGCATTTGATTAAAGTGCAATTGTCGTGTCTTAATTAGGTTGACGGAAGGAATGCGGGAGAGATTGAAGTGCACTTCCTGGGCCATTGATTAATTTTGATCCAAAGGAAGTGTTGTAATAATTGCCTTTGGCCACTAATCCCATTGTCATCATGGGCAAAATGATGGTTTAGCTATTATTTGTTATTTTACTATCGCTTCCGCTTGGGCGGACATAAATTTGAATAACGGATGCGATAATGCAAATTCTCTCCACTCTATTAGTTAATATATGTATAAATTCAATCCATAAAGCTCAGCCTAATCGAGGAATTGTGAGTGAAAGAATAAAGCTAAAATCCGAAGCTTTGTAATTTTCGCTGAATTGCCGAAAATTGACATTAACAATTTTGATTCTTGAGCAAACATTCTGCTCAGTGTTTGTTTATGAAAGCACAACATGCTCGATGTTTGCCATTCGGCAATTAGGATGCTTGGTGTGTGAAATAATATTTGTAATTGTGTAAATCACTTTGTCTGACACCCAATTACAATCTCTCTCCTCATGTTGTCTCGAAATTTAATTTAAAATCTCGTGGTATCAAAACACGACGTGAAGAATATCATGAGCATCATGAGTGTGAAACTGAGATGCGCGACGGCGATTGAGGGTGTGAGAAAAGTGGGTCACTTTGCCATGCAGAAACTAACTCATAACATATTCCCCATCTCGCCTGCAGAATCAGCCCAATGTGACCCCAACGCCGGGCTCGCCGACATCCAGACTCCTGCTGGAGTACGAGATGCACTTGAGGAACACGCTGGCCAAGGGAATGGACGCCGAGTCGTACAGTCTGCACACATTTGAGGCTCTCTTATCGCAGAGCATGGAGAATTTAGGTAAATAATGTGCCACCCCCCATTCTCGCCATTTCGTATTCCGCCCGAGTCCTCCACATCAATTGTCTTCCCCGAAGATGCAGTCCTCGTGAAAGATTCAGGCGGCCTGAGTAATATTTCATGAGGCCACAATCTTGTATCTATAGCGTGTCTGTTTGATAGATTTTATTAAATTCATGATTTATTCACATCATTTGATTTACGATACGATTTCATTGTCAGAACTTTTTCAAACTGAGAGAGATTTCTCTTGCATCATGTTAAGTATTTGTTGTGATTTTCTATCGTACAATCAGCTTCTTAACTTTGAGTCAAGGGGGAGATAATATTCCTATAAATTATAATGAATATAATAAGTTTTCATCCAATATTTCTGCAAAAATCCGTTTAATAACGCTTTTTTGAATATATTTTCGTGCCATAACCTCAAAATATCACAAAGAGATCTTCAAAAGACTCAAAATCCTCTGTTATAATTTGCCAATGAACTCAAAACTGCTAATTCACAGTGAAAATCGTGCATAAATGTTTCAAAACGAACATTTTCCAAGTTTAAATGCCTATCTTTATATGCCTATGTTCGAGTTCCAGGTCAGAATATCAATGTTTATTGCATGTAAAATGCCTAAATCAACATATGACTACCGATTTCTCGAACTTGAGCATAAGAATTAATCTGTTAGACTGCGAATTATTCACTAAATCTGTGCTTGATTCGTTACATAACCTAAAAAAATAGATTTTTATTTTTGATTCTGCGTGTAAATCGAAGGAAATCCAAAGAATTAAGATCACTTGTCAGTAAAAAAGCATTAAGAAATATTGTAAGTTTCTGAACACTTCTTCACACTTCTGCTGAGCTGTACACCACTTCTGACTATATTATCTCCTCCTTGTTTTGAGTTTGACCAAAATGTTAATCCATATCAAATAATGGTTTTATTGTGTGTTTTACTAGTTATTAATCATTCCAAACAGAGTGAAAGCCAATAAATTAAAATCATCATAAAATATAGTAAATATCTAAATCTATATTAAACGTAATGTACATTAAATAAGCATTAATTCACTTTAATCTGGCTACAATTGGGAATATCAATTCAATCAGCAGTTTAGCCAGCACATTTGAAATGCTATTAATTCCACAAATATGTGAGGAAGGAAAACTCTTTCAATAATACGATTCACCTGGGAAATTACATGAATTCCATCCCTGAGATAATCCCCACGCCACCCCAAAACAACCCCCAAAATGACTCTATTGTGCCTAACTTCTTGCGTAATTGCCCAATAATTTACTGTTCAATTTTCTCACCTCGTGCAATCTTGCCCACCTTGTGCGCCGCCTAATCGAATAATGGGTGAAGAATTGGCCGAGAGCTTGCCAGGATCCACTCAGAGGAGTCCATATCCGACCCGGAAACGTGAGTACATCTCCTGACATTTATTGTTATGGCGAGTGGGTGGCGAAAAACATGCTTCTGACACTCTGAGCGCCTCTCCAAGTGGAGTGGAAATTAATTTAGCACCTGATTTACAATTGTAATTAGGTTCTGCCAGTGCCAAATCATCCACCCTGCCGCTGGGCCGCCCCATGAGTGTGCGGGAGAGGGATCGAGATGGATACTACAGTGACAGGAATGAGCTGTCGCGCGAGAGGGAGCGCGAGCGGGAGCGCGAGAGGGGATACTTAAGTGATCACATTTCGAGGTAAGAGGCCGAGTTGGGGCGCTTGAGGGAAATTTCAGACACAAATATCCCAGCTTTTTGCGCTTTTTCTCCGAAGCTCTCTGAATATTCCATTCGGGGGGCTTTTTGCATAACATGATCAGCGAGTGCCTAATGTCATGTTAATTTTGACACACATTTTCACCCTCCATGGCAAAATCTAATGATTTCCTCTCTCCTCCGGGCAGCTATGGGCAGCAGAAGTGCGCCACCTGCGTCAGTGACAACTCCAGAGCGCACTGGTTCCGGCACTCCGACGGCTGGAGGTCCGGAAGCTCGACTCTGGGCTCAGGATCAGGAGCAGGACTTGTGCCCAACATGGGCTCCGGACACAAGCGCTCTCCGTGGGACTCTCTGCCATCCCTCCGACAGGACAACAGCATGAATGACTCTGGATACAAGAGTGCCAGAGGAGATTCCCTCGAACAAAGGTACGGGATTACAGCGCTGAGTGGCTGGAATTGTGACATAAGAACATATTCTTCACATTTACGGAAGCGTAAGATTAGTTTATCGATTCAATCTTGCATTGTAGATACAAGATTTGAATGGTTAAAGGAGAATTTGGATGACTTTAGCATCTATTTGAGTCCTTTCAAGGCTCATTTTGACAATGCAAGAGAAGAGAATTAAATTTTAACTCATAAATTCGTTACGGTCAAACTAAAGCTTCTAATTATGTAAATCCAAAAACCCTGGGAATGACTTAAGTTGAGGTAAACTTCATTAAATACAAATCCTTCGGGAGGGAATTCTTTGTGTCGGCATTCAACAGCCAAAAGCCACACAATCCATTTGGGCTGCAAACCGCTCATCTGATGCTCTTCCGTTTTCAGGGGTGTTTTCGATCGGCAAGATAGTCTCCGTTCGGATTATCTGAGTGACCGCGACTCTCGCTATGGAATTGTCCAGCAGGCGTCCATCGACAGCACCGACTCTCGCCTCTGCTACTTGACATCCTCCGAGGTGGGTGGAATTAATTGTTAATTTGCCAATTACCACGAGTGCATTCAGTTCACACACCCCCTTTGAGGCGCTCGACACATGAATGTGCGCCCTTTCTTTGCCCAAGAGCTCTGCGCTCCCATTCTTTGCCGTTGAGCTGAAGTGTTGGATCATGAAATAATCCCTTCTCCATAAAAGTCACATTTAGCATATTTACACTGGCGGTGAACACATCGTGAAGAGAATGAGCTTCAATGCTGGGTGAGAAGTTGATGAGATGCAACCAAAATATCCCGGAGGCATCGACTCTTCTCTCGCATTGCATAGAGAGACTTTCCACCGCAAATGAGCATCTAATGATGATGTCTTGTGAATACCGAGAGGAGATTGTCATCTGGCGCGTCCCTCTTTTCATGAATGCCACACTCTGTGTCTCTGAACTCATTATGAATTTGCCATTTGCAACATTTCACTGAAATTAATCCTGTAAGCTTCAACACTTTCCCGGAGAAAACCCACTCAAGAGGTGTAATTAAATCTGTGGAAATTGATTAATATCTCGCAATTACATGTAATTTCTCACATCCCGTGACGATCTTTATTGAATTTCACCCAGAGAAAGAGGGGAGGGAGAAAATATATTTTGCTACATATAGTGAATATACAGCGAAGCTTTTAAAAGTTTCTCCTCATTGAATTCAGCTTTTAAGCGATATCCGTGGCGATGTTTGAACAAGTTGTAGTCAAGTGAATTCTTTAGTATGCAAAATATTTGTAAACGTCCTTAAAAATCCTTCCAGTTTACAGGTAAGCGATATACAAAAACATTTAACATTTGTACATAATATGTTTTCCCAAAACATGCTTTCTCCATATTTTATACATTTTGCAACCCAAATTTATCAACTCAAAGGATATTTCTCTTCATTAAACCAACATGTGAATATCAACAGGACCACTGAAAATTTACCATAATTGAAATGGAAATCATTTTGCAGGTTAAGTTCACTATAAATTGCTGCACAAGTTAATTAGTAAATTCATCACATAGACTAAATTATTCGACTGTGGCAATTTTGATGGGGTATAAATTGAGTAATTGGGATCTTTTCGCCTCCTAAAGACGCTCGTCTTGTTTGTTTCCGAGGGCGAATGTTATCAATTCAAGTGGAAATTTTTTGGTGAACAACCCAGAAAGAGAGAGTCAGAAAAGTGCTGACGTCTTGTGAAATCATTTATTTTCCACCCATTTTTTTTGCCACCCACTTCCCAGTCAGCTTTTCTTTTGCCTCTTCTCCGGATGAGGAGAATTATTTTTCTATGCAATGAAAGAAGTGTTTGAATATCACACATATTTACCCTCTTCCATGCAGCATTTTTTCCTTTCATATCCGTCTTATCGTCTCTGTCGTCATTCGTGCATCCTTGGAAGTCGTCCTTAGCCAACTGTGTATACATAGGAAAATGTTGTCTCACGACAGCATCCATACAGCAAAATAGATTCCAGAGCGCTTCCGGGGAAAATTGAAGCATAAATTATTCCATAGGAAAACTTGCAAATTTATGTGTGTCTACATGTTCTTCTGTAAAGGTGGTAAAAGGGGGGGAGAAAAATAACTTACAAAACCATTCTGAATGTGTTCTCCAATCCAAACACACACCCGAGCTATTGGCCTTTCATGGGCCTCGGCAACTGTGGCAAGAGATGACATGTTAGACAAAACGACGCCCACAGTGAAAATATTAATAATTCCGCTTAAAAGGGCACCAAAAGTACATGGATAATTTTTCAAAATGTCACCCAAAATATCATGAAAAGAGCCTCTCCTGAATGAAAACCATCAACACCTCTCCATCGCGAGCCTCACTCACTCATTTGATGTATTTTGGCGCATAAATTTATGTATGAATTCAATTAACGAGTGTTTCCTGCTGCGAAGCACCCTCTTCAGATGAGAATCCCCCCCAAAAGATATGATATTGCTTAGGGAAGTTGAGTGTGCGGGAAAACTTTTAATACGGCTGACTTTTTTTCCCGCGTGGAGCCCCGAAAAGTCTGTGAAACTCAATGGAGAATTGCAGACTTAATTGTCCATTTACCCAAGTTCATTGAATTCATTTCCACTGGGAATATCTTCTGATGTTCCATTTTCTGAGAATTATTTAACAATCAAATCCTTCGTTGATTGGTAGAATTTCACTCTCTTGGAAATTGGTATTGTTATGAAGACAGTCAAAAGAAAGGCAAAGGAAGAATTAGAAAAAATTCATTGAAGCTCCGCCCATTCAATCGCCACGCCTATTTGGAGTGCTTCAGAGAGCGGAAACGTACTGAATTGCTAGGAAAATTCACTTCTCAAGCAATACATAATTTAAATCACATTCGAATAAATCAATATCAATTTGTGAGAGTAACTTGCTGACATGCATCTAAAACTTCAACTTGAGTTACACTTGTCTTCAATTGAACAATTCATCGTGATATTCCCGACTATACATGAAATTCGTGTGCTAAATTTATCATCAACTTTACTGAAAAGTTGAACAATTTATTAAAATCACCAGAAGTTTTGCAAGCTGTATTGAGGCGAAATCCCAACGAATCGTTGCTAATTTACTTTGAACTTTTGCAATGGGTTTTCCTCTTCACGTCTCCCGAAGAACGAAGATTGAGGTGTTGTGGATATAAATAGTCCGTGTATAAAGTCGAAATGGCTGTGGAACTACATTAAAACACTATGATTGCGTTTTATTCTCGGGTGCTTTCCAAGCTGAATCCAATATATTGCTGATGTCAAAGGCGGAACACTTGCCTTGCTCTCATTTAGTGATTTATACCTTTTAGGTCATCTCATGTGCACACGTGCAAAATTCCTCTTGCAAACTGTGGAGCAGATTATTTGACTAGAGAAGATCGTTTGTTTTTTATGACCTAAAGAAGCATGAAGTTGATATTGACTCTTCCTTCTCATAAGAGAATACAAACTCATTCAGTGGTTAAATATTCATATCAAATTCATCTTTTTCCATCCAACTAAAAGGACAGAAATAAACTGAACTTTCCGTCTCGAGAGTCTTCAACTGTGACAGTTGGAAAAATATCTCTATTTTCAAAAAAAAAAAACAGAAAAGTTCTCTAACCCCAACGCAGAATTGAATAAATTCTTGATGGGAAAAAAACTTTTACCTTTTCTTCTTCATTTTCTGTCATCAAACACGAGTCTGTGCTTTGTAGTCTTCATCTGGGTGGATGTTTTGCCAATTTCGTGCCACCCCAGCGATGAGGAGAAAAAGGCAAACTAGAGTAGAAAGATACCCAAAATGAAGTTCAACTTTTGCGCTTTCACGTAGACTTTATTGTACCGTTCTTTGTGCCATAAAAGGTTACTCCAAAAAATGTTTATGACTTCTTTTGCCCACCCCCGAAATAGTCTCACCCCCAACATTTTCTATGTCAGTCTGACGCAGTCAACCCCACTGAGATTGGGAAAGATTGCGGAGCTTTCGCATGATGAAAATGCTCTGCAATGAGTTGCAGTGATGTGCAGAGAGCTTTTGTGCATTTGATGTGTGCACACACTCGTGATTGCAATTGTGGCCCTCCCGAATGATGATGAAACTGGGCAAAAAGACCATAAATTATGACATGGAAAGCAATCAAATGAATTTCTCTTCATACTGGCAGAGCTGCTTCGGAGATGATAAAACTTTTTCCCCCGCCGAGAGCTTTCATCGTGCTGGCACTTTGCTTGGCTCTCATATCACTACACTTCCTGGCTGGCATTCTCCACACGTCACTCCGCCATATACCTTCGGAGCTGCAAATGTATCTGGATTACATAAGTTACCACATTGCAGAGAAGCTCACAGGGAATGAGGGGCGGCCAATGATAATAAACAATCGAATCTGGAATGTTGAGTTAATATTTGAGACACGCAGAGAAATGCTACTTTGAGATTGTTTGGTAAAGCTTGGTGAACGTGGTTAAATATCAAGTTTGGCAGAATGCTAGTTATGCTTTCTGAAACTCAAACAAACGCTCAAAAGCATACGTAAATTTGTATTTTTCCAACTGAATCTCTGACGAAATTGTATTTTGCAGAGCAAAGACACAATTGTCAGGGATGAAATACGATATCTAAGGCGTCGTTGCAACTTTACTTTGCGTTTAATATTATTTACTAATGTGGGGAATATATCAATTCATGTATTTCATTGTGTTAAAACAAGAAAAACACGAAAATTCACGTGAAAACCAAGGAAATAGACAATAGTATGATATTTTATTGTAGATAAACACATATTTATATGATTTTTGGCTAGTTGTGTCCATTTTAATGCTCTAAATTGAGGTTATGTGTTTCCGGACATCCGTCGACCCTTTCCAAAGAAACTAATTGGTTTCCTGGACAAAATGGCCAGAAACTGGGCGTAATATTAGAATATTCCGGCCTAAAAACACCATCAAAGAGCAAATTTTGCATCTTATAATAAAAACTATGAAAAGCGTAAAGTTGCAACACAAAATTGATAGTTTTTACGAATTGAAATACGAAATCTGTAATGTTGCAACGACTCAGAAGTCGGAAAATGGTCAAAAAGTAACATTAAGCAATACATAATTCTTCTGCTTTGTTATCTCGAGCACACAATCAGGTGGTCTAATCTAAATCCTCAAGAGAGTCCTTGGCTGAATAAAGGAAACTTGCCTAGCTACATATCTCTCTCTGTCTCTAAAACCCCCTTAAAATTTGCCAATGCGAACCCCAAAAGCTCCCAACCTTGGCAAATAATGGCAATCCAATTATTTTCCATCACCGCCGAGTCATTTCCCTCAGTGTTCCCGTGGAGCTTGTGAAATTTTCTCAGGCAATGTGTATCTAAACATTTTCACTCTCTCTCATCTCCTTTTGCTCTCCTTGCCTTCCTTTCTGCCCTGTTTTTTTTTCATCAACTCTTCTGCCGTTCTCACGTTCCTTTCCTGTGTGTGTCTCATTGCAAGCCCTGGCCATAAGAGACC